GCAAAGGCTCTGAAACTTTGTGGTTTTGAATATAGCTGAGTTTGGGTTACTGGGATATTTGTCTCTAGAAAAATCTTTGATGGTGTATATTCTTTACATTTTTGGTTGGTGGTGTATTCTTTTTTCACCATTTATCAAGCTGCAATGTGTTAAGGATCGAAGTTATTTCTTGTAATTAAGTTACTGCTGAAGTGCTGACAAGGATGTGCAATTCTCACATTCTTTTACTTTCATGTAGAAATTCATTAGTTTGTAAGGTAACATTTTCTGTTTTATCTCACTTCAGAATGCCTAAATTTTACAAATTAAATTCTTATGTTCATCTTTTTCTTCTTTATTTCATGCCACATTTTATGACATGTCAGATTGCATAATGTTTGGATATCCGACATTAATTCCTTATTTATTATTTCTTCAAGATAAAATAGTTATCACGAGATTGGTTTAGTATCTACTATCAAGGTGGTTGAAATGTAAATGCAAATGGAGTGCTGCAAGACTAACCACGTAACTTTATTTGCAAAATGATCACGTGTCTTAAAGAATAAGATACGATGATAATATGTAATGGAGATGATAAATCAACTATAATATTAATTAAACCTAAAATAACCATTGTTTGTGATTTTCAGTTGCTAATGTGAGATAATGATATGTGAAGTAGATATTAGCTTCTTTTTTTTTTATGGTGTATAAGTTTATATTAGCTTAAATAGACCGAGTCTAATTTCTTGGCATAAAGCCTCTTTAAACTAACCTTAGTGCTCTAATTTGTAAGATTCACAAAGAATAATCCAATCATTAAATCAGGAAATCTGCGAGAACACATGCATCAATAAATTCCATCCTTAGAATCATCTCAAAATAAGGCAATCAATCTCAATTTCAACGACATTTACAAGATTTCTCATTATAAGCGTTTCTTTAAATCATTTCACCAATGATGAGTCATTAGGAAACATTAAAAATCAGAAAATCATGCATAAAACTTGTATTTAATAAAAGTGAGATTACATAGGATTTCCATGAAGTTCATTTATATCTAACTTAATGGCATCTAGCCAAGCATAATGGAAGCAGAGTAATCTATTATCTATTTCTATATATTAAAGCAATGTTCATTTATCCCTAACCACGACATGTTTTACATTTTATGCAACTTTGTCTCGCGTGCTTTCTAACTCCCATCCATCTCTCTTGCCTATTTATTATTGCTTTTTTTTTTTCACGTGCATATATGCACTGTTCTCTTACGAAGAGAATAAAAAATACAAAATTTTCTTCTCAAGAATTGAACTTACAACTTATTCCACAAAAGCAAAGCCTACCATTAAGCCACGTTTTGTATTGAGATATACAAGAACACACATTTGTGTTTATGTAATTTATTCCATTCAAGTTATTCGACCACTAACTTATTAGTTTGTAGTAACCTATTGACTAAGTATTTATTTTCAGTCGATGGCCGATTTGATAATGAGAACATTTCTCTCTAGCAGTGGGTGATTAAAGTAGCTTCTGACCTAACATTTTTTTATTTACAAAATCTATTTTAAAAAGTTTATTTTTATTAAAAACTAAAAAAGGAGCTTAAAAAACGCTCCCTTAAGTAACTTGTGTAGATCTTCTTATTGGCTTATTTATGAATTACGGTCTTCGATTCCTAAGTGTACATTATTTTGCGCTTTTCAAAAATTTGAATAAAAATGTATTTGATTATAAATGTTGATAAATTTTAGTGTGGTGGATTTTATTTTTAAAAAAAAAATTGTTCTAATTTTATGTATTTTATATTTTTTTAAAATATTTTTTCTCAAAATTATTATTTAGATCTATGGAGCAGTATGTTTATATGTAAATTTTGAAGGGTCAGATACGAATTTGAAAAAAAGCCTATTTATTTTATGGACTAAACATGTCTAATCCATATAAAATATAGATTTCATAGGTCAGACCTTAAATAAACTTGATCGACCTGTGTATCTATCCCTATTTGATTTCACTTCAAAAAGTGCATTCTTATTTTTTTTATATTAAGAGCATACATCTTTTGAAGAAATACATAGCTAACTTTCCTTATTTCAAGATAGGCAATAAAAACCTAATTTATCCTATAATATAAGAGAATATTATTTCATCCAAGTAAAATAATTGAAACTCCATCCAAAAGATTAAAAATAACTAATAAAATATTTATTTATATTTAACTTAGTTAAATACGTGTTATGACAATCAATTATATTCTACCAATCATACTAAAGATATTTATGAATTTTTTTCTTGTGTTAATTGTGAGCCGATTAATTAGTACTAACCTAATGTAAACTAGCTTACCGCAAATAAAGTAATTCTCGTATAACTAATGGTTTGATGATGAATGGAGAAAAAAAAAAACTAATTTGCAAAATAATTCTAAATGGTAAAAAATGATACCAAGACAATCATATTTTCCATCCACAAATGTTACAAATGAATTTTTTCCCTTTAGTTTCCTAAAACTAAAAGAAGGAATAATATATTTTTTTTTATTAAAAAAATTCTCCTACAATTAATCCTTTCATTATTACTTGTAACAAATGAAGTGTAATGTAATAAAAAAATAATTTGTTAAAATTTAATAAATAAATTGAAAGATAAAAAATTAACTATTATATATTAAATACGAACATTTATCTATAACATTTTTAAGAATTTTTCTTCATCGAGAGGGTTTGTAGTGATTTTTTTTTTACTTAATTCAATTTTTATTTATCATAATTTTTGTTAATTAAATATTAATATTTTAAAATAAATTATTAATAAATAAAATATTTTTTTTTCAATTAAAAATATTTATGTATACTTGTTTTAAATATAATTTATATATTAAAATATGGTATTTATATATAATTCATTATAAATTATAATTATATTATATATAATAAACATGTTTATACATTACACAAGTTAAAATACTAGTAAATAAATAAAAGTAGAACTAAAAGTTATCTTACATTAAAATTTAAAAGTTAAATTAAAGATAAATGTAATCACACCAATTTCCTCTAAAAAATATTAAAATGACTTATTAGACATTTGATATGTGAAATATTTTTACTTTCCTAAAAATTTTAAATGGAGAATGCTAGTTTCCCACATTTACTAGATATTTTTAAAAAAATCCCAAGAGATATAGTTTTCTGATAATCATTTTTATCTTACTTTCTTATAAAACATTCTCATGAGAATGAGAATCCAATCTTCCTCAATTAAATACAAGTTTTATGTATATAAAAAAAATACGGTATCCCTTTTTTTATATAAAAAAGTTAGAATTCAATTTTTTTTTCAAAATATTCATGTTCTCATACACTTCGTAGTACATTTTTGAAATATTGAAAAAGAGATAACTTTATTGTCCATTCTCTCACGAATTGCATGTAAGTCTTTATTTCTCTCTCTCTCTTGCTTTCTCACTCCTATCTCTTGTTGTCTATGTGTGAATGTGATGTGAATAATTTATTGATTAACACTCATTATTTTCATCATTTCCTGTTTAATTGATTTTGTGCCAATATCTATTTGATTAAATAGTTAAATTGTGTGTTTTCATGATTCCATTAAATATAACTTCAATATGTAAAACTTAATTAGTTTTTCTTTTTACTTGAATAACAAACACAAAAATGTCACAACCAATCACAATCTCTACAATTAATGGAATCATACAACTAGTAGCAAAAAGCAACTACAACTACCTAAGATTAATATATTTGCATCACCTAGATATATGTACCTCTATATATATATATATATATATATATTTATTTATTTATTTATGAGCATAAAATAATTGGGAAAAAATCTCATCCAACACACTAGAATGAGAATGAGGGAGATTTTAAGAAGAGAGAAGAAGAAGATTTTGACTTTCCCCCTAAAAGTTTTATGAAAACATACTACTCCCCTCAAGAAAACCCATATAAAACTCTTCATAAAGTTGAATTCACTTACTAACCTTAACACTCTACTAAACAAAATCACTTAAACAAATACCTCACACATGAGTGTTACAGAAAACACATTAATTATATTAACAAATTAAAATATAAATTAAGTTAACCAATTAATTAGGTATATTTATTTTATCACTTTTAATTAAATTATTTTTTAAGAAAAAATAAAATAAAATCAATGCAATGTTTTATTTATAAACATTTAACAAATTATTTTATTAGTTTTTTTTATTACAAAATACGTGATTGTTATTAAGTAGGAATTAATATTTTTTTATCACTTTCTCATTAACCTAATAATAAAAATCAAATAATTATATAATTTTCATAAGATATGATATTTTTATAACCATTTAAAATTTATAAATTATAAAACTACGATGCCAATTTTTTATTACAGTATTTAGCTTATAAATTTAACTAATTATTTAAATAAAATAATGTTAAATATGTTTTTATTATTGTTTTCTAGTTTATTTATATTTTATTTGTTATATTGATTGTTAATTTAACTTTTCTCATTATGATAAAGCATAAAAATTATATTTTACACTCTAATTTATTTTGTATTTTGTGTATAGTTTAATTATATGTAAAATATTAATTTATTATTTTAAGTTAAATATGATATTTTATGTTAAATTATGATATAGTTATACTCTATAAAAAAGAAGAAAAAAAACTCATTTTTTTATAAAAAAATATTTTTTATAAAAATATTTTAAATAAAGTAATATCATAATCAAATGTGATAATTTTTATTTCTCAAAAAATTAATAAAAATATTTTTAAAAATCTTTACAAGTGATTAACAAATTTTAGTCATATTTTTGAAATTTATAATTCTCATAAATCATAAAAAATTTCTCTCACACTAAATCACTCCTAAAAAGAAAAAAAAAATCAGTGCAAGTCTCTTTATTTATTGAAATAATACAAAATATTTATGTAAAAATAAATAATAAAATAATAAATAATATAATTTGGTGACAGTAGGTTGAGTGTGGAGAGTCGTCCATTTTGTTCGTCCTGTAACCTTACATTAGCTCTTCTTTGTATGCTTCTCTCTATCTCTCATCTCATTTTCTTTTCTTTTCCGGAATCTCATTTTTTCCCTACAAATTCCACTCCCTGTCCTCAAAGACAGATCCGAAAGCGGATGCCAAATCTATTGCCCCTCTCCGCCCCAGATTATCGTACCCATTAGATTCCTCTTCCTTCTACACTCTTTGCAATTCTTTTCACACTATTCACTGCTATAGAGCACAATATAGCTTATCTACTCACTCTCACTCCGATTTTTGTCCCACCCTTTTCACTATTTTAGCTCTTTTCTTCGAAGAAGAGGAAAAGGGGTTTCTTTGAATAACCCCACAATCGCGATTGTGCTTTGGTTCAACGAGCAATGGGTGTTTTGTAGATTCTAGTTCTTGATCTTATTTTCATTGATCAAAAGTTTTTTTTTTTTTTTTTTTTGCTGATTTTTGAGGTACCGGTGTAAGCATAGCCTATTTTTTAAGTTATTAAATACACTTTCGGATCTTTGTGTTAATGTTAAATCTCGTTGGATCTGAGTTTGTGCTGTAAATAAGGATGAATAGTTGATGCAATACCCGGAATAGGCAAAAAAAAAGTGTATTTTTTTGTTGTTGTGTGTAGTAGAGTGGTTTTGTAATTTAACAAGGATCAAGAGATTGGGTTTGTATCATGGATCATGTTATTGGTGGAAAATTCAAGCTTGGGAGGAAGATTGGCAGTGGATCGTTTGGAGAGCTTTACTTAGGTGTGCACCTTATTTAGTTTTTTTTTTTTTTTTGTAACATTAGTAGCTTTGTTCACTTTTAATGATTTGGACTTCATGCCTCTTTTGATCTTCTGGTGCATTTGTTTGTTTCAGGTGTTAATGTACAAAGTGGAGAGGAAGTTGCTGTCAAGCTGGTGAGTGCAATTATTGAGTTCTATTGGGTGTTTCGGAAATGTTAAATGCTTGATGTTTTGTTTTTATTTTGATTTTCATAGTGCGTAGATGGATTTTTTTGTTGTTGTGGGAGTGAAGTGATTGGTATGCTTTTGTTTACTGGTTGATTGACCTTCAGCTCGGGGAATATTTGTGAATATTGTGCATGCTTCTTTTTTCCATGAGTTGCCTTTAGAAGAAAGGGGTTAGGATAACTGTTGAGTTGGAAATGTTGCTGATGATTGGCAGATTCCTTTGTGACATCTGACAGCAGTGAAAATCCCATAGAGATACACTAATAAATTGAAAGGTCATATGCTTTTTTAGCAGGCGTGATCACTGATCAGATATTATTTCAGTAATTATGCCTTAGCTGATTATATAATTATCAGACTGTTTTTGGAAATATATTGGCAAATGGGGAGAAGATAAAAAGATCAGAGTCTAAGATTTGATTTGCATACATTATTTGAAACTCTGTTTCATGCTTCAATATTAATGCAAATTTATTTGGCCAGCATGTTTCTTATTAGCTTGACCTTCTAAACAATTATTGCTGTGATGTTGTTGCAATGTTTGATTGCTTTAAATCTTTAATGCAAGTCTTGGTTTTATACTGACTTTTATTTATTCAATCAGCCTGAATATTGTGACAATTTGTTACATAGCTGTTTCAAAGTTAAAGAATGACCACCATTCTCCCCCTAACTCTCTGTGTTTATCAGGAATCTGTGAAGACCAAGCATCCCCAGCTTCACTACGAGTCAAAATTGTATATGCTTCTTCAAGGGGGAAGTAAGTTTTTATCCTTTCCTTTTTCTTTCCAATTTATACTTCAATTTTTTTTTTTCTTGCTGTCAAGACATGCATTTATAGTGTGTTTGGATGGGGAATTTAAATGAAGTAATTCATTTATTTGAAGAATTTCAAATTCTTTGAGGTGAAATACCTTGTTTGGATGAAGAATTTATAAGGAATTTGAAATTCAAGTATTTGTGAAATTTCTTGAAATAGAATTTTAAATTCTCCCAAAAAAGTAAGAATTTGAAATTCCTCATATTTGTTTTTCTTATTTCATTTATATATTTTATCTTATCTCTTATCTCTTCATTCTTTTAATTATTGAATATTAAAAATATTTTTAAAATTATTAAATATTACCTAATATTAATTTTTAAAATTATTAAATATTTAAAAATTAGCTATTATTTATTTTTTAAAAATTTAATTTAAAAATATCAACATATAAATATATTTTTAAAATCAATTTTATCATAGTAGAATCAAATTACCATATTCAACCCAACAATTTAAAATTTAAGAAATTTGAATTAACTTATCCAAACAATATATTTTAAGAATGATAGAAATTGAAATCAAAGTAATTCAAATACCAAGAATTTTAAATTCCTTGAATTTGTAAGATTCCTCATCCAAACACACCATTATTTACTTTACTGTCATAAAGTGAAATTAGTAGTCTGAGTTTTTTTTTCCCTTTTGTGAAGCTGGTATACCCCATCTAAAATGGTTTGGAGTTGAGGGAGACTACAATGTCATGGTTATTGACCTCCTTGGGCCAAGTCTTGAAGACTTGTTTAACTATTGCAATAGGAAATTCACTCTGAAAACAGTTCTGATGCTGGCAGATCAGCTAGTAAGTATGACTTTAATTTCAAAAGAAGTATACTTCAAACAGACAACTTCTTTATTTTTACTCTTTTCTTCTATTTGGGTCACCTAGATTAACAGAGTTGAGTACATGCACTCCCGGGGTTTTCTGCATCGTGATATAAAGCCTGACAACTTTTTAATGGGTTTAGGCCGTAAGGCAAATCAGGTATATTGTGTATCCCACATTTATTCGAATTTAGCCTTATTTGGTTGGGTATTTAAATTTATGCATGACATCTCAATTGTATTCTGAAGTAGTTTCAGTTGTAATTAAGAATATGACCAAAGATCACTCATTCACATTATGCATATATGGAGACTTCAATGTTGTTCCTAATGATCTCTACTGTGTATAAGCTGTAGGATATGTAAATTATTATTCAGAACTTGAACGCTGCAAATGTAAACAAGTTTACCTTCATCATATCCAATATCGATATAACCTGGCTTTTGCATTGGGATTATTTAATTAGCCTTACTACATTTCTTTTTTATAGAGAAAAGAAAATTATTTGGATGAAAAAAAAAGAAGTGAGGATATGGAATCCTTCTTTAATCAAAACATAGCATAAATCGTGAAAAAGAGAAGATTACTTTAACAAAGCTTCCCATTAGATATCCACCTTGTTTTATCAAAGAAGGAAAGTATCCTTATCCAAGGAATGAGTGAGAAACTGAAAAAATGTTTTACATGAAAATCTCCCAGAAGGAGCAAGGGACTAAATCCTTTTATCTGGGTGAGAAGACAAAACTTGGGCAATGGAAATATTGTGACTTGGAGAATCATGTAAAGAAGCAAGACAGTACAGGGTTGGAAAGGCACTCATAAAAGGAATGTCTCCTACTCATAGGACCTCCCAAAATTTAATATAAACCTGTCTTCCTGTAAAGAGCCAAAGACTTAGGGGGCGTTTGCTACACGATAAATTTTTTGATGCCTGAGAATCATAAATTCTGGGAATAATGATTCTTAGGAATCATGAAAATCTGTTTGGTTGGTTATAAATATTTCTGGGAATGTTTCTAAATATTACCTGGGAATCAAAATTTTTTACTGTATTAAATAAGTAAATACAAGTTATATGACATTTTACCACTAAAATTTTACTTTTACCTAAAAAAAGTTAGTTTTCCACGTCTCCTATTAGAATAATTTCGTAAGAAATCTATGGAATAAAATTCCCGGGAAACAATGTTTCTTAAAAATGTTAATAACAAATCAAACACGGGAAACTGACATTCTCGATGTCAGATTCCAGGATAGTAAAACTTTCCGTATATCAAACATCCTCTTAAGGTAGAGTGACCTTGAGAGATAAATTTTCAAGAACTAAAGTGAGAGGCTTGGATGACAATCATATTGATAAACTGGATAGGAAATTGTGAGGAAAAGTAAAATTTTATGAGGAAATTTGGAAGCTCTAGCTTTGTTTGAATGAAATACAATACCTGAGAGAAAAATGGAAGAATACAGGTGATAAAAATGAACTAACCACCCAGGTACCAAATACTTGGACTCTCAATAGCCAAATCCTTTTACAAACACACAAGAAAACCTACTAACTTTCCCTGCTTCTTATTTATTCTCTCCTGTCTGTCTGTTGATGATAATCATCTATTGGTTGATACCTATTTATTCTATCCCGACTGTTACAATTAATTGTTTATTCGAGCAAACCCTATTTATTCTCTTCTGACTTTTACAAATAATTGTATATTGGGTTGTAATTACTGCTACCCACTCATTAGGATTCTATTATTCTGTTCCCTCCTCCTCTCATTCGTCCTGCTATAAATCTTCTTTATGGGAGTTTTCCTACTTGCACAATGTGTTATTTTATTCCGATATTTCTATTCTTCAAGGGACGATCATTATAATTATTTAATTTCTCTTCTTTGGTATAATGTTCACTTAGCTGGACATCTCTTGCCTATAAATATTCACAACAGTTGTATAACTTATTCTTTGATATTCGTGTCTCTAATTGAGTGAAATATATCGTTCTTGGACTTTAACACATTTCTTTCTTTGATGCAAGACCCTTTAACTCTTCTACCTTGGCTTCATTAATGTTCTCTCTCTCTCTCTGGCTCTCTCTTTTCTCCACATAATCAATTGTTTTATTTTTCTCCTTTTTTCAACAGCACAATTAAATTAGTTATTGCACCAAGATTGCGCTTTTAATTCCAAGTTACATTCTGTTACTTCTGGGCCATATGTTCTGGCAAATGACTGAATAAACCAACAGTCCAACTATAGTGTTGCGAATCCCCTATCAGCTACTTATTGATAACTTTTTACCTTTATCCTTTGCAAACTTGTTTTCAAATATTTTAGATATTATTGTGTAGTCTTGAATATTGAAAGCAACGTACTTTCGAAATGATTCAACTGTGTAATATTGTAACTAGATAATTGAATCTGTTAATTGGACTTTTATACTCCTTTCTGTTACTTTTATTTTTATTTCTCTTTATTTATTGGTATTTTTCCAGCATATGTTTGATTTTATTTCTCACTCTATTGTTCCACCTTTGTTTCTACATCTAAATAAATTTTTTTTTAATTTTTAATAATTTAATGAAGTTTATACAAGTCAACGTTGTATTCCTGATATTGCCCAAGAACCAAACTATTCACTATTCCGGTTAACTTAATGGAAGACCATTATAAATAAAGTTACCAAACAAATTCAGACCCTAACAATGACATATGAACTGAAGTCTATAAATAGTAAGTAAGAAAAAAGGATGTTGGCATACAAATGTATCTCTGAATTTGCTTATTTCTAGACTAGTGTCATGTATTAAAAAACTAATTTGGTTTTGTTTTATGTTGCAGCTACCACTGTATAATATCAGTAACTGAAATTCTATGTCAAATCCTGAATTTTTTTTTTTTTTTTTTATACATTGCAGGTATACATAATTGATTATGGCCTTGCAAAAAAGTATCGGGATCTTCAGACTCATAAGCATATACCATACAGGTATAATATTTGAGATTTTGTTTGGGTGGGCTCCGCAGCTTGTTTTCATTTCATCCTTGAGTATATATATATAAAACACAATACAATGTCAAAAATGCATAATTGCTTAAAGACACTATTACACAAACACTATTAATTCAAATCCATAACTGTTTATGGACACATCACATAACTGTCCTATCATATAGCTGCAGTGCTGGGCCTGGGATTGCTGCCTAAAAGGTTTGCTAGGGGTTAAGCTGGTGGTTGCAATTATTAGTGTAATAGTTTCTGGGCCTAGGATTGAGTTTTCCAGCTTTTAACCCAAGTCAAAATCCAAAATAATATTTCAAAACTTGAGCCTTGAACCTGCACCTGTGGCCTTCATGTCTCTTCCTCTAAACGTGTCTTTTAATATATAAAATAATAATTGTTCTTCACATTCCTTTCCTTTTCTTTGTGAATGGTCACTGCACTTTATTTTTTCAGGGAAAACAAAAACCTCACTGGAACTGCTCGGTATGCAAGTGTTAATACTCATCTGGGAGTTGGTGAGTGGGGCTATTGTTTACAGGGCTTGCAGATACTAATCAATAATGTTTACTTAAATTTTTTAAACTCAAAATGGACATAAATTTATAATATATCTTGTTCTGATAATTCTTGTAGAACAAAGCAGAAGAGATGATCTAGAATCTCTTGGTTATGTGCTCATGTACTTTTTGAGAGGAAGGTTGGTTGAGATGCTTTTTTTTCCCTGCAATAATCTTTATCATTGTATTTTTTAACTTTGGCAACTTTTTTCCAGTCTCCCATGGCAAGGCTTGAAAGCTGGCAATAAAAAGCAAAAATATGACAAGATAAGTGAGAAAAAGATGCTTACTCCAATAGAGGTATTATTACTTGCTCACAGGCAGCTTTCATGTGAACGTTTTAATGATTAGAATATGTAAGGAAAAAGCTTTATTCATGTTAGGATGATAGCTGGTTTGTTGGTGATTTAGTCATCAGTAGAATTTGTTCACTATTGGCATTTTTCTGCATCATGTATGTATTTTTCTTTAACCAATTACAATTAGTTGTGCAATAAATTAAGCCTTTCTCCAAAATATCTGTTGCAAAAAAAATTTACAGTAAGTTTCTGAGACAGGTCTTATGCAAGTCATATCCATTGGAATTCACATCATACTTCCACTATTGCCGATCGTTGCGGTTTGAAGATAAGCCTGATTATTCCTATCTTAAGAGACTCTTTCGGGACCTATTCATCCGAGAAGGTTAACGTAATATATATAAGCTTTAATGTTTCCTATTGAGCAGTAAAGATTCTTAAAGGCTTTGAAAATCTTGTTTTTGCAGGTTATCAGTTTGATTATGTATTTGATTGGACTATGTTGAAGTATCCCCAAATTGGATCCAGTTCTAGAGCGCGAGTGAGTATCTTAACTAGTCGTTTCATTGCTTTTCTAGTTTCTAGCAAAAGGTTCTTGTTAATCATTTTTTTTTGCTGCATCTTCAACAGCCAAGTGGGAAACCAGTCATAAACCCAGGACAATCCGGAGAGAGAATAGAACGGCCTTCAGGTTTCATCCTTTAACAGCTGCATCTGAATTTTATTTTTCCTGTCGTAATTACTTTTCTGCTGATAAATTGTTTTCATGTCATGAATATTCATAATCCTTAAAGTTCTATTTATTATTCATGTTTATGTGCTTTTATTCTTTTCATCTGTTTTGAAAATGTATCTGTACGTTCTCCACGACTAAGTAGCGTATTATTTCAATTTTACAAACTGTATGAGAAAGGCTTACATCACAGCTAAGGATTTGTATACCTACATTTTAGGGGGACCAGAGATCCGGGATAGATTCTCAGGTGCAGTTGAGGCCTTTGCAAGAAGGAATAGCTCTGGACTTGGTCTGCATAGTGATCATTCTAGGCATAATAGGTCTTCAGATGATGTGCCATCTTCCAAAGACGTGGTTAGTATCGGTGGCGTTATTGTTTTTCTGTGTATGAATTGGTTACCCTCAAACTTGCTATGGGACTGCTTATGCTTAGCCTTCTTGTTACGTCACTTGTCATTTGCAGCAAGCTGATTCGGATAGGCCTCGCAGCTCTTCTCGTAACGGAAGTTCTTCAAAAAAGCCTGTCTTGTCAAGCAGCAGGCCGAGCTCTTCTGGTGAGCCTAGTGAAAGCCGTGCTAGCCGACTGGTCTCAAGCAGTGGCCGACTATCAACAACTCAGAGACTTCAACCTGGTTTTGAGTCCAAATCATCTTTAACTCGGCCTTCGGTGACAAGGGGTGGTGGGCGTGATGATACACTCAGGAGCTTTGAACTCCTCTCACTTGCTACTGGAAAACGCAAATGAAGAACTGTATGGTTAGCAGATTTCTTGTGTCAAGGGTCTTAGTTCTGCCTTCACACTTTCCTTTGAGATGTCTACACATGTTGATTACTCTGTATATTTGCATCCATGTTGGGTCCTTTCAAGGCTAAAGTTCATTGAAACTTCTCCATGAAGATTTGGCACTCTTCTTATACCTCTTCAGATGTTCTTCCATGATTATTTCAGCATGGACCCATTCGTGAGGAGATATTATGTTACTTAAGGAATTTGTTAATATATGGCTACTTGTAATAAATACGTTCTCTATTTTTCTGTTGAAGGAAAGGAAAAGAATGCTTTTGGAAGATTTGCACCTTTTCTATGCATATTTCGTGCCCGACTATTTTGTTCTAATATACAATTTGTTGGCTCCAATTATGGATAAGAGAGAAAGATATTGGCGTGCTTTTAGCCAGTTTGACTTATGTGTGTTAAAAGAGATTGAGAAAATGCCTCCAAAGTGTCCGAGTGAAGGTGTATTCATAGGGTGTGTGAAAGAAAATTCAAAATTGAAATAAATTGTTTTAAAGCTAAACTCAATAATTAATGAGGAGGTTATCTTATTCAATAATAGATTATTGCCTATTAATTAATGATGTACTTAAGTACATAGATAATTTATTGATAAATAGTTAACTAAATTTGAATGAAAAAATATTTAAAAATTTGTTAATAACGGCTGAAACTAAATCAAACAATTAGTTAAAATAGTAGTTAATTGAATGGTTAGTTGTACATGCACCAAGTAGGAAATATTTTGGGTGTATGAGATAAAAAAAATATTTCAAATAAATTAATGAGTAAAAATGGAGAAAAAAAATAAAAACTTAAATATGTTTATAATTTCTATAAAATGAACATGTTTTAATTTTAGTTATTGTAGAACATTTACTTTTGAGGAGAGTATTGGGATTCAAGTATAAATAAAGTCTTATATCGATTAAAGTTTAATAAGTTTAATATGTTGATTAGTATATAAGTGAGAAAAATTCATGAACCTAATATTTTAAAGTTTTGAATTATAATATGATGTTAAACTTACTTATATAATTTATTTACTATTCATTAGAGCGTTTTCCAATATTTAACTACCAGTTACATCTTTGTAAATTTAAAATTATTATTTTTAATTTATACTATTATATGATTATTTTAATTACTTATTTATTAAAAGGTAAAGTGACTATCCTAATCTAAGTTGTACTCACAACTGTTTATAATATTATATTAGTGTAATATTCTAAAAAGTTATAAATTCTTAAAATAAATGTTAGTTATTTACCTTAAAAAAATTTGTTAGAGGTAAAAAATAGTAATTTTAAATTTTAGAGATAAACAAAAAAAATATTATAGAGATCAAAATTAATTTTTTTTTCATTTTAAAATTAAGTGATAAATCATTAAATAAGTTAGGATATCTAATAAATTTATTTTAATAAAACTAACTAATAAATTTCTTTAATGCCTTAGGAAATAAACCTTTTTCATTAAGCAAACAAATAATTACTTCTGAAAATAAATATTTGGAGATTGAGCCGAGTCTGAATCATTGTTAAACTTTTAACCCATCAAGGAGGTGTCATATTCTTACCGAAAACAAACCAAGCTTGATTTTATTTATTTATTTATTTATTGCCCAAAGTATCTTTTTATTGATAACTAATTCCCTGAAATACAAAGAATAAATTCAAATGTTCTCTTTTGTTCTTCTGACCCTTTGCTACATAGACAAATCGCAAATAAAATTTTAAAAAATAATCATTATTTATCGTAATGATATTGTTTTCAAAACAGACATATCGTCTTCAAAAATTAAATTAAAAAGGTCACTTACAAGGAGTAATTTTAAGTGATAAACAAGACTGATCTTGTTTGCTCGCAAGGTTTCAAATTCACATGAAAATATTTGTTTGAAAGACAACTTCAACATTATAAAAGATGATTGATTTCCCTATTGAAGGCTGTGCATAGTAGGATTTGAATTCTTTTTTAACTCCTTATTTTATTACAATTTTCTATAAAATGGTTTTTAGATAACTACCAGTATAGTTCTCTATTGATAACCGTTATATATAATGAAATAATATTTTAAAAATGTATTTTATGAGGATTGTCAATGAAGGACCATTGTAAATCAAGGAATACCTAAAAACAAACTTAACATTCAGATATGCATTTTTACATAAATGTTTTTTTTTTGCATAATACTCACAATTTTAGACTAAATTTGACCACAAACTTACTTTTCACGGATCAAGATCTTGTGCGGTTTATATTTGAATGGCATGAATCCGAAACATTGATGTATATGTATGGTGAAAATCTGAACTGCATACCCTGCAGTTATTTTCAAACTGTAGCTCATCCCTATCCGCTTTTGACATTAAAGTTTTTAAATATAAATATTTTTCTAAATAAAATAAATTATATAAAAATCAAAACTTCAAATGTTCATCCAAACGCGTATGTTTGATTATGTCTCGACACAGCACAAAATCCAAATATAAAATCAACGTATGATTTACTATGCAGGACCAATGAAAATGATTGATTTTAATTTTGCAGAAACAAAGATATACACTAAGCCTTGATAGTGAAGCTAGGCTATTGCCATGTAATAACTCTATGCCATCCAAGCCATAAATAACAATCAATGCTATTTGGTTGACTGCTTCAAGATTTGAACCAAGTGTTGGAATAAGAATAAATGGTCATTTTTGCTATATGAATTTAAATGATATTGTTATATTAGTTATATAACTAAACTAAAAGGATAAATAACTATTTGAAAGTATATTAAAAACCTAATTTAGTTCCTTATAATATTTTAAAGTTTTAATTTAGTCTTATTTTAATTTTTTATTTCAATTTAGTCCCTAATAATTTAAATGACTGCAATGTTGGACCTTCTGTCCAAATTTCTTAAACGGAGTTCACTGTTGGCCACGTGGATGTCACGTAAATGCATAGGTGGCAAGGTTCCATATGTATGTTGTTGTCCTCCTCCTCCTCCTCCTCTTTCTTCTTTAATGCATCTGGAACGGCCCGTTCTGAAACCAAAATGGTCCGTTCTGCTTGCACTCGTTGTGTGTTAATTCTGCATCTGGTGTAAATGTTCTACAATTATACTTCTTTTTTCTTCTTGTTGTTTTAGTGCTCCAAGAGGTAAGGGAAGCTTTGTGATTGAATTTTTTTTGTGCATGATGATGATTATTGTTTAGGACCTTTAAATTCCTTGTTGTTATGGTTTGAATCCATGTGTTGATGATTTATGAAGTTGTGGTGTCCTTAAGGTTTTTGTATGAGAAGGATACGATGATTCTTGCTCTAAAGTGGTTGCATGTTATAAATAAAGTTATTTTTGAGATATCCATGATACTTATATGTTATATAATGCTTTACATGTGAGTTTTGGGTTGGATTTCAAGTGGATTCGATGAAATCAGTTTTTGCATAAGTGTAAAAGTTGATATCGCAACAGACATACCTTCAAGGTGACAGCATGACTCCAAAAAGGGGTCTCTATCTTACTTATGTCAGACATAGTATTGGTGACATCGAGCATGAGGACAAAGAATCATCTTAGGTTGAAATCATGTCGTGTGTAAGTTGAATGACGTCAAACATGAAAAGAGAGACTTATCTTTGCCTAAATTCTTATCAAGTGCTAATCTGAGTGGCACCAGATGTAAGTTAGGTAAAGACCCTCTACCTGATTGGGGTTGGGCATGGGTTTTGCCATGCTAGACTTGAGAGAGTGAGAGAGTCCCTATCTCAACCACATCAAGCACAGGTAATTTATCGTTGGACGTGGATGATATAGGGAGTCCCCTGCCTCAATGGTGTTGGACATCTGTGAGTGGCGTCGAATGCAAGTTGCATGATGAAAGTTATTATTTTAATAATTGAATGATGATGAATAAATTGTATGAATGATAATATATAATGATGAATCTATATCTTGTGACTTGATACGTTATATGATGATATTCATGTTTTTCAGTTGTTAGTTGATTAATAAATGAGTTGTATAAGTCCTAAGTTGATTAACACAACTTGACAACACTATGCTTACATATTTAAAACATTTTCAACATTTATCATCTTAACAATATAACAATGTAATCATTAGTAATGCTCTAATTTAATTATTTTTTTCTTTCCCGTCATGTTTATCAAATAATTAGTGCTATAATCATTAGTAATGTATCGAAATATCCAAAACATATATAAATAAAAAAAAATTCAAAGCATGTGCGATGAGGATATGTAAAGTATAAGTTTACTTAAAAGTTTTTTAAACTTCGATTTTCGTAATAATTTATTATTTGACTTTAAAGTAATGGATAAAATAATTAAAAAAAAAAACTTACGACATGTTGATTTTTTTAAAATAAATTTAAACTATAATTTTATAGTAATATACATAAATGATTCTATTATATGTGAACATGTATTTTTAATATAAAACTTATTTTCTATTTAAAAATAATATTTCAATACTTATTTATTTTCTTCTTATAATTAAATTATTGGTATAAAATATTAATCAACTAAATTGATACTTATTTTTTTTATAAAAAATCTGACTAATATTTGATAATATTTATGATAGTGTATGATTCAATAATTAAAAGTTAAATAATGTTAAAGATGAAATTGAAAAAAAAAAAACAATCATTGTCATTTTAATTTTTAAATATATATATAAATAACTAAAAAAAGCTTCTAAATTTAAGGTCAAAGCGATTACTTTATTTTTTTTTTTGGTGCAACTCCTTGGAGCTGCAATGCATTAAGAAAGAAAACTTAAAGTAAACTGTATTTCATTACGCATATTTAATACAATTAAAATAAATGATTTTTCTTTTCTAAAAAGTTTACTATTTAAAGTTCAAAGCGAAAATATAAACATGTTATTACTAAATGGTTTAAAGTTTTTCCACTCTCGTCTAAGTAAACCACCAAGGCTGAAAAATAGTGATATTTTATTTTTAATTTATTTTCCCACCGGAAGAAATTCAAAAAAATTGTTCCAGAAGAGAAAAGAAAAGAAAAGAAAAGAAAAGAAAAGAAAGGTTTAGGCTTAATCGTTGTTCTCGGCAGTTTCAGTTGGTACAGTGCGCGTGCACAGCACACAACAGATAAATACAACTCTCTCTACTGTTTTCATCACTCACTCACTACCGTCTTCTTTTCCTTCTTCCTCATTCCCCTTTTCAAACCTCGAAACCAAACAAGGGTTTTCTTTTTTTCTCTTTTTCTTTTTTTAATTTCTCATTTTCCCTCTTCTTCACCCTCCAATTTTCTTCTCCCTCCCCGAATTCTCCTTCTCTGATTCTCACCACAACCATCTTTTCCCTCTCCTGCATTCAAATTCCCTGGAATTATCAATTCTCGGGCGCCTTTGTTTTCTACACG